GAGAGACTCACCCAAAGATCATGTTCAGCATAGTCGAAAAGGAGCCAGACTTTTCTGTCGCTGTGGGACAAGAACACTTTCTGCAGGGCGATCACATTTGGATGTTTCAGTTCTCGTAGCAGCTGGAAGAAACAAGACTGTGTGAATAACTTGGAGAGCAATCATTGCAAGAAAAGATATGATAACATTTGAATGTACTGACAACTTGCTGAAGAGGAATTCTATGAATATTGCTGCCATGACTAAAATCAGCATCTGCGACAACCGTGACTGAATCTCAGTCCAATATTGTGAAATGAAAATAATCAAATAATCAAAATGATCTGGTGGGCCAGATATTATTGGCCGCAGGCTGCCAGTTGCTGTGGAGTATCTGAAGATTCAACTCGGACCGGCGGGTCTGCAAACTGAAGGCACGCTGCCCCACCAGCACTCACTACTACAGAGTATAGTTGCCATATTTATAATATTAAACGTATCGCGTGTCCAAATCGCAAATTAGGCACTTTACTTCCTTGGGCCATTACCATTATACATGCCAAGTGTGAGGCTGATAAGATGAATGACATTAACATTTTGACTCCAACGAAGTACCTCAAATAAGATCATGATAAACACCATGATATATTAAACCATCCCAGCTACAGAATGTAGGTTTCCAAATATAGAATCCAGTAATTCCATTGAGCCAATTTCAGACAAACTGTGCGGAAACTTCAGATGTTTTCTTTTCATTTATCATTGATCCCAAGGTTACAACAGCTGCTGAAGGCCTAATGGAGGTTAGCAGAAAAGCAGATGCATAATGGAGGACTTCAATCTTTGCTAATGCTACACGCTATGCTGCATCATTCAACCACTCCCTTTATTTCTGTCTTTGTCAATGGATCATTCGTTTCACCCACTCCCATTCAAACTGTACCATTTGCTGACCCACCACAGACAATCCATAATCAATCATGCCCTTAAAACAGGCCTCTGTGTTTACGGGGCGTTGCATTCAGGGGGAGACAGAACTGAAACTGTGAATCCCACTGATGGGATGAATTATTCATTCATACAGGCTGTCACGCTTCTGACTGTACCTCACCTAGTAGCACAATTTTAAAACATGTATACATTAGACAAAACAGTTCTTGTCTTCGAATTATGTACTTTTCAATATTCTTTCATGACGGTATCATTTCCAGTGGAATCTAGAAAGCATGCTGAAAAGAATAAGCACTCAGATGAGGCAGTTACTCTACAACATCAGAGAGACCTGGACAGAACAGAAAAAAAACACTCGAAAAAAAATCAGATTTTTAATCTGAGTTATGATATATCAAATATTTAAAGAATCACTGGCATTTTATCAAGAAGAGAAGAAAAGAGAAGAGAGGTAGTTCCAGTGTTAAGAGCTCAGTCTGACTGAAATGTTCACTTATAATCATGGTCAAATATTTAAGAGTGTTCAGATGTCTTAACTAATTTCTATTCAAAATCAGGAATTCTGTCACCGTCAAAGAATCTTTGTTTAATTCAAATGAAGCTTTAATGGTTGTGATGGATTTATTTATTTTGATAAACTCTCTCTATGTTTATCAGATGCTCTGTTTTAATACCAGAGTGGGCATATGAAAAGTCTGGAAGAGTAAAACCATTCTACTCAGCAATACAAATATCTGCTGCTCTTTATTATTTATCACGTTACTGTTTTGTATATTCAGACAGGGACTCTGGTTTCCAGTGATCTAATTAGTCAGGAGTTGGGCTGCTGACAGGTTTAGATCTGTTATTGTAAACTAACTTGCTCTGGTTTAGCTTGTTACCATGGTGATAAACACCGGTAGAAGTGAGCCTGGTCCTGCTTTATACTACAGACCTGGACAGATATTTGGATTTCAAATTATGTGGCTGACTGGCAGAATCATGCCTCTGTGTTATTTAGATGGCAAGTTAAGCATCCAACGGACCAAAGCCTCATCAGTTACCTGACAATGAGAGTTCAAAGAGTGCACCCACCTCTACACATCCACTAAATAAACTCTAAATTGCCTTCTGCCTAATCACAAACAAATGGTGTTGTCCTACTGTTTGCGTAATATGAAATGTCACTGTGGTTTCGGTAATGTTGCGTTATCTGAAATGTTAATGGCTTTTCTAAAATGTTGTCGTTTTGGGTGAAATGTTGTCGTGTTTGGTGAAATGTTGTGTTTTGACCCTCAGGGACACTGCAAGTAAATCTCTCAAACAGCCAAAAATACATTGGTCACAGATGATGAGCTCAGAAAGACTTGAGTGTTGAAAATGATAAATGTCAGAGAATAGAATTATGCCAGAGGAATGAGAGTGAGAGACTCACGTCAGTCAGCTGAATTGGTGACACAGTCTGCAGACGTCCAAACAAAGTCAAATGTTGGGAAGCAGCCAACTGTTTGTCAGATGGTTATGGGAGGATGAGAAAATTGTAGTTTAAATCAATTCACTACAAGCCTTTTTTATCAGTGTTATTTTGTGTGGTGCACAGTGAGATGCCTCAAAGGAATGTGAAGGATTACTTAGGGACATAGTGTTCACTTCATCAGTGAGCAAACATGATTTGCTTTTCTTCTTGCTAGTGTCTGAGAGTGTTGTCCTTTCGCTATATTATATAATGACAATAATGTTTCAATATGATCAATCAATCAAATTTGATATGTATAGCTCAATTTTTCTCATAAGGCTTAAATGGATCGTTCACAGAATAGTGAAAATTCACTTATTATCTACTCATCACTACACCGATGTAGGGTTGATTAAAGTGTTTAGGTCGACCTGACACTTCTGGAGTATCAAGGGTAAACAGTGTAGCCAAATCCAATACAACTGAAGTAACTGGGGATCAATTCTTCAAACAGAAAATGCCTCCATACTGCTCCTGTGGTGTGATTCAAGCCCAGACATTCAAATTCGACTCTAAACTGCGTGATTTAAACCATGCTTTTAGCCTAAATGTTCGTTACCAGAGGTAGCACGGTAGTGGAAGTGGCGTTGCTAACGTGCACCCCGCGCGTACCCTTGGGCAGGAGCTTGTGTGCGGTGTGTGCGTGCAAACGTGAACGCAGCTCCAAAGGAGGATATCAGAGGACATTTAGGCATAGAGGTGAGAAGAAAATTTTCATTTTTTGGGTGAACTATCCCTTTAAGCTTACTGCACATTTCAATCAAAGAAACGGCTTCTCTCTTCCCATGTTTTATATGTGTATTGTATTGAGACGAATGACAGACAAATCCACTTTATGTTACTGGATTTGACATCGACCTTTACTTAGATGGTTTGACAGATAGAGCTAAAAGACAAAGCAAGTTAATGCGTAAAGTTGAAATCATCCAGAGGAAATACTGCTCTGAAGTCCTCCTCTTTTCAGCACTTTAGTTTGAATGATTTCAAGACAAAGGGACCTGCTTCTTAACGTGGAGACACACAGTTACAGCATAGAAAATAGATCTGAACACCACTGCCTGAAGCCAGTGCGTTTGGTTGAACTAAGATAAACAACCAGAACAGTAAAAAAAAAAAACACAATAGATAAATTGTGATAATTGAATGAGCTGTGCAGGAAAAATACTGTATTGCTTCTTTTGTTGTACCCACAAGTCTCAGTCTGAGAAGTTACAAATGGGGCAGAAGAGGTAGTGGGGGCAAACTGTGGGGAATAATTCAGGAATCATATGCAAGCCGTTTGATTTGGCCTTTGGATGAGGAAATGAGGTTTGTATTTCATCACAACCTTAATCCACAGGATATAAAAGTGCATTGTGTCAATGAGCCCTGGGCTTAGGGCTTGTAAACCCACAGCTCTGTGGCACCACTTTGAATCGGCTGGACGAAACAGACCCACTGAGACCTCTTATGATCACTTACTCAATGTGGCACGAGTACCACTTTCACACATCAGCCCAGTGTTTGACGCTGGATAATGAGCATGTGTTTAACCCATTTTCTGTGCACAGGACCACAGGTTAATTCCTGATTGTTTCTGTTCACATTAGACTTGGGTCTGACTCAGCAGTTTCAGTCCACAACACAAAACACATTGTGACACAAGATGATTCCAAAAATTGTGTGTAGACTGAACGGATACGTTGCCCGCCCGTTTGTCTGAAGCTCTTATTAGCTTAAACTGAGAAGTGCAATAGTATGTTGTGAACGGTAGAAGCCATGCTGTAAGGAAGTGGCTGATAGGGTAAACACTGCAGTCTTCCAATGAGCAGTTACCAAAGGCAAAACAAAATTACATATACATGCACGTCTTTGGTGTGGTTTCAATGTCAACTTCTGCTTTGTATCAATAAAGTACAATGTTGCTGTTAGACCATATTTCTCTTTCCATTAGTTCTCTTTTATTTTTATTATTGTTCTGCATTCTTATAAATGATGAGTAACTTTGTCATTTGCATTTTATACTTTTTACTTTCAGGATAAATTTGGAATAACTGTCCAGAGAACTACAGAAAAATAGCCTCTTGCCAAACTCAGATTTACAGCAATGTTAATAATGTGTATACTGTCTGTTAAATAAATCAACACTTTTTTCCCTGTTGCCCTTTTCATAACCATTTAACTTTTAATATAATACAATTTTGCTTTTTAAGTCTGGGTGATCTCTCAGTAAGTATTTATTGGGTCATTATGAAAATGGGGAGGGACAAATGAAACTACGGTGGTCTGCCAGTCTATGAAATAAATGGGAAACACTGTGTAAACCTATTGGTCTGTTTTATTCTGTTGAAGTCTGTTCACAGCAGCGCTGACGGTGGGCGATGATGTGTGAATCCTCATGTTTTATCGTTTATGCTGCTATTAGCACACAAAAATTAACCTCTTGATATCTGAAATGTACTGGTGCTGTTTTATGTGTCAAAGACACTTGTCCATTCTTTCATTCTTGTCAGTTATGATTAATATTTGGGGATTAGTTTTTAGTAAGAAAAACACATTCAAAATGAACATCTCTATTGCAAATATTCACACTACACTGCTTGCTTTACTGCTCACTCGAAAGTTGCATAACAGCAGCAGAATTTCTTAAGTTCTGACGCAGTCCTGTATGTAAAACATATAATTACCTCAGCTGCAAACAAATACATTTCTTAAGGA